CCCCAAAACCCCAAAACCCCAAAACCCCAAAACCCCGTTAGACTTTCTGTTGCTTGAAATTATTTCAATGGGTATTTAAACATCTATTCTTCCAAATGTATTCCTTGCGTCTTTGTTTGTTTTATCAAGATCATTTTCTACCATTACAACTTCTTGGGTCCCATCTTCATTGGTCTTGAGAACTCTTTGGATTGTAGTATTCTCGCACTGGCCTTCGCCTCCTGCAATATGCCAAGCATTTCTAATCATTAATTCAAAGTAGTCATCGCTATCAATTGAGGCAGAGATGTCTTTATAGTAATCTTCGAATTCTTCAATCGTCACTATTCCATCTTTCTTGTGGGTTTCCCAAACTTGCATGAATTCACGGAGGACCTCTTCCTTGGTCTTTCTTCCTGATTGGAAATCTGGATGATAGCTGGTATCATATGCTTCCATAATATCATCAATTGTGACTAAGCCATCCCCTGTTTTGTCGAGAACTTTATAGGCCATATGGACCATTTCAGTTCTTCTTTGGTTAAGATCTCCTCTAACAGCTCTGAGGAACTCATCAAAAGAGATCTTGCCATCACGGTCAGTATCAAAATACTTCACTACTGCTGAGACTTCTTCCTCACTGATTGGGATTCCGTAGTCTCTCATTGCGTACTTGAACTCGGTTGGGTCAATCTTCTTGTTTCTATCCCTATCAATAGCTCTGAACATGATCTTGAGACCTCTGATTCCATTTCCTGATCTCTTCCTGCAGAGACTGATAATTCTTTCCTTGAGGTTTTCGAAGTTATCAATATCAATTTGAGTATCTGGTTTGAGATGATTTTTGGGATTCAAATCCTTGTGAGTGAGGTTAAAATCTGTTGTCTTCTTTTCATGCTCAAAATTAATATTTCCTTCATACTTCTTAACAGCTCTAGTCTCTTGTGTAGGCTGAGTGAAACCACTGGTTTTGGCGAATGGGTTTGGACCAACAGAGGCCGACATCATAACTGCTTTTGTTCTTACAGCTTCTGTATAGATTGTGACAGGCTGAGTTTGGGAGAAATCTCCCTCAGGGATTTCTCTTCTCAGCGCATGATCTGTGGTCTTTTGAGTTCTCCTTCCAAATCCATGCTCGACATTTAATTCTTCATCTCTTACAGTTTGATCAATAGGAGCCCCATTTTGAGTTTTCATGACTCTTGCTCCAACAACATTTTGAGAATAGTCTTGTTTTACATATGTAGTTTTAGCGGTTGAGTCAAAGTACCTCATCTATAGCTTTGTTAGAGAAAATTTCGAGAAAAAGTAGCAAGCTTAACTCAAATTCCAGAACTATGAGAAATAATGATTACATACAGCATCTATTCTCTTTTGCTCCTCTTCCTTCTCTCGAAGCTCTCTCAAGACAGCAGCTTGGATATCTTTTTCAAGAGTAAGTGTTCTCATACCAACTCTTGGAAGGAGATCTGCTTTATTTTTCCCTTTACCGATTGTCCATGCTTCCGAGTGTATATCAGCAGAGACTTTCTCTCCGTGAACCCTATCGTGAGTGACATCTCACTTAAAATTATTAGTAATTGTGCCTTCAAAGTCAAGATGTTTCTTTGGAACATGCTGCTTAGGAATCGTTCTGTGAGTTCCAGTAAAATCTTTCAGTTCTCTTTCTTCTTGCCAGTTTCCGATCAGAGTACCTTGAGCCTGGGCACCAAACTTATTGAAATTGTTCTCAGCCATGAATGAATTTTATTTCTTTTATAATATTTTAAATTTCAAATAAATTTCTTGAAAAAGGGGTTTTGGGGTTTTGGGGTTTTGGGGTTTTGGGG